GAGGAACATCGATCAGCTGCCTCCTGCACACCCCCTACTAGGGATGTGCCCGCAACCCAGGTACATGCCCTTGACCTGGGACCCTTGAGTCTGTAGGCCGACGCTCTAACCGCTGAGCCAAACCGGTCAGGCAACATAATAAGTCTTTTGAACTGTGCTTGCATGAGAATTAGGAATTTTGCCAGTTTTCTTTCCTCCATGGGGAAAATTGTGCATAGGTTTTGTGTGGTCAGCCCCTTACCCCGTTTTCCCCGTAAGCTCTGTTATATTTAGTGTCTGCTTTTGTAGCTTAACAAAAGCTTTTAGAGACATCATATAAGAATTACAATAAACTCCTTGACCCGCCTCCCAGCGCCCTTTAAGGCGGTAAACAAAGCCTGCTACTTGCTCTGCACACAGCAATGGTAATAACGAGAGACCTTTTCTTACCTCCTGTGCAAACAGACTCTGAAGCTGTGACAGCCACAGCAGTGTGGGCTGGCGTAAGAAAGTCTCTTCCAGGTTGTGAGGATGAAGGAGAATGGCAGACATTTGGCCCCGAACTCAATAAAGGAGCATCCTCACGGCCCCCAACTCTAGCCTGTTCCTTATTCCGAGGCCCTGGGGCCTTTTTCTGAGCCTCTCCGCTTCCCCTCTAAGAAATAGAAACAGTAAGTGTTATAGACTGAGAGTATTCTGCTCAGTGAAAGAAGCCAGTCAGAGAAAGACAAATATCCCGTGACCTGACTTATAAGTGGAAGCTAATGAACGTGGTAAGCTGATGTCATCGTCACGCACCGCGTGGAATTTCCAGCTCCGGGTTTGCTCAGCACAGCGCCCGGCGTTTGGCAGAGGCGCCAGCGTAGAAACAGTAAGTGTTATAGACTGAGAGTATTATGCTGAGTGAAAGAAGCCAGCCAGAGAAAGACAAATATCCCGTGACCTGACTTATAAGTGGAAGCTAATGAACGTGGTAAGCTGATGTCATCGTCACGCACCGCGTGGAATTTCCAGCTCCGGGTTTGCTCAGCACAGCGCCCGGCGTTTGGCGGAGGCGCCAGCAGAGGGCGCCGTGGAGGCTTCTATTTGAGACGTTCAGCCGGTTCAGAGGGGACCCAGAGCTCACTGGGCTTTTTCTCCCGCCTTCCCGCAGCCGAGTGCACGGTGATGGGCATCCCCAGCATCTCCACCAACCTCTCCGGCTTCGGCTGCTTCATGGAGGAGCACATCGCAGACCCGTCGGCCTACGGTCAGCGCCCAGGCTGAGAACCGGCACGCTTGGGCCCTGGGGAGGAGGCGTCCTGGTGTCAGTCTGTTTTCTGAGTCCCCCATCATGCCCTCCCCCGCCTCACCCCACAGGCATCTACATTCTGGACCGGCGGTTCCGCAGCCTGGATGATTCCTGCTCGCAGCTCACCTCCTTCCTCTACAGCTTCTGCCAGCAGAGCCGGCGTCAGCGCATCATCCAGCGGAACCGCACCGAGCGCCTCTCCGACCTTCTGGACTGGAAATACTTGGGCCGGGTATAGACCAACGCCCTCTCCTGCCCTGTGCTTCCTTCCGATTCTGGGTCTCTGGTTCTTCAGGCTCAAAGGGGCAGGTGGCTCCTCTTACTTGTAAAGCTTGCTGTCCCTTTAAGAAATGATTCAACTGCTGCAGGAAAACCACGTGGGTCCAAAGGGCTGCTATTTGCATAACTGCATCCCGAGAAACCAGGCTGTCCATTCACAGCTCTGCTATTTGCATAAGGGGCGGAGCCCGACAAATGGGTGATTGGCTCAGACCGCCTATTGCCCACCGTTCTCCGCTCATGGCACACATAAACTTATTAGTAAATTATGGGGCCCATCAAAAAATATATTTTTTGCTGATGTGACCAAAAAAAAAAAAAAGACACACAAAAAAACAGGTATAATTCAGATTCATTCACACCGGACGGCTGTTGTGTTTGTGCTGTCATTTTTTTACTGGGCCATCTAAAAGCGGGCAGCGCCCCTGCCTGGTCTCTTTTACAGTCAGGAATTGCCTGTTTCTGTTTGTTGGTTTTAAGTATATTTGTATTGATTCAGAGGGGAAGGGAGAGGGAGAGAGTGATAGAAACAGCAATAATGAGAGTCATTGATCGGCTGCCTCCTGCACGCCCCCTACTGGGGATCGAGTGGCAAAGCCGGCATGTGCCCTTGATGGGAATCGAACCTGGGACCCTTCAGTCCGCAGGGCGACGCTCTATCCACTGAGCCACACCTGTTAGGACAGGAATTGCATGTTTTATAAAAATTGCACATCTGTTAAAAAGCGCTGGCTTAGGGGTCTAGTGGAAGATGCTGCAGAGTGTGCTCATCTGCATAAAAGGTGTGGCTGGGGTGGGGGGGGTCACCCTCTCCCACTTCTGCCAAGGGCTCCCCCCCATGTCCCTCTCCTTCTTTCCCCGGAAGTACTATATGTCTGCGCGCCACATGGCCCTGGCCAAGGCCTTCCCAGAGCACTTCTCCTACGAGCCCCACGAGGCTGACACGGTGAGTTGGCGGGGGTCCCTCTAGTGGGCCCGGGGCTGGAGGGCGGGGCCGGGGGTGCAGCGCTCAGAGGGCCTGGGGGGTTGGGGGCTTGCACGCCCGGGCTGCACCGGGGGCCT